AGGAGGAGGAGGAGGAGGAGGAGGAGGGGGGAGGAGGAGGACGATGGGGAGGAAGAGGAGACTCCAGGTGGCTTGAGAGACCTCCAGAACTGCCCCCTTTGTCCCCCCCGCTCGGCGGCGAGCGATGGGGGAGAAGTGAGAAGGAGGAGGCATTCTCAGACGGCGGAAGGGCTTCTCAGAAGTCCTCCGGCCTTCTGAGACGCTTCCGTGTCCCTGGGGAAGGCTTAGGGAACTCCGAGCAGGCCGAGGGACCCCCAAGCCTTCTGAGCAGTCTGCGAAGGCGCCATCACACCCACCGGCTTGCTGCCGACAGCTGTGCCCGGGCGGCTGCCCCTCCCTGCCCCTCCCTGCACCACCCTGCTGCCCCTCGCGCGCGCTGTCCGACTACGCGCGCGACGCGGCGCACGGGCGTGGGCCCGCCCATGCAGACGCTGCGAGCTTTCGCTCCGCGGCCCGCCCAAGAAAAAAAAAGCCCCGCCCCCCCGGCCCCAGGGACGCCGCCCCACGGCCACCCCGGGGACGGCGTCGTCGCCCTCCGCGCGGGCGCCCCCCAGCGGTACGGCGGAGTGACGAAGGCGCCGCCAGAGGAGGTCGACCGCCGCTGCTGCCGCACCCCCCGCCGCCGCCGTCGCCGTCGTCGTCGTCGTCGTCGTCGCCGTCGTCGTCGTCGTCGTCGTCGTCGTCGTCGTCGTCGTTGCCGTCGTCGTCGTCATCGTCGTCGTCGTCGTTGTTGTCGTCGTCGTCGTCGTCGTCGTCGTCGTCGTCGTCGTTGTCGTCGTCCTCGTCGTCATCCGCGCGGGCGCCCCCCTCGCGGCATGGCGGAGTGGCAGAGGTGCTGCCGTAGGGGTTGGCAGCCGCCGGCGCCGTGTTGGCAACGGGGGTCAGCGCTAACGGGATTCCGGAGCCTTGAGACAGGGGGTCAGTGCAAACGGGGGTCAGCCACAGCAGTGGCCGCCGTGCAAGCCACCGCATAGGGATCAGTACAAACAGGGGTCAGCCACCGTACGGTGGCCAGTGCAGACAGGGCAGCCGACGCCGCCGTAGTGGCACTGGGGGTCAGCGTTAGAGGGGATCAATGCAAACAGGGGTCAGCCAGAGCGCCGGATCTCTCAGGATCCTGCAGAGCCAGGGGTGTAGTGACCCAGGCTAGCGTTCAGGACCCTGCAGGACCCTGCACGATCCTGCAAGGCCTGACTGACCTGGGTGTGCGTTGATTCGGGTCAGTAGATCCCCGAGGTCAGCCGATCCACTCGGCGCCCACCTCGCAAGACCAGCTCATGTTGGGGTCAGGCTAGTTTCGCATGCATGTGAAGGCTTCGCGTTGCGCACAGCCAGCACTGGCCCAGGTGGTCCGTCCCGGCTGCCCTCGAAAGGCCACTCGAGAAGTCCAAGCTGGCCTCGACAGGCTCCCCAAGTACACACTGTTCATTTCTGATTCTTCGAAAGTTCTCTGATATTTTTTTGGGCCAGAATCCTTTCAGTTCTAATTGTTCTATCCTGGGCCTCTTCCTGGCCGCTAGGGGGCCAGGAACACCTAGAAACGAGCACGATTAGAAATGAGCACGATTAGAATTGAACGACGTGTAGTCTGGGGCGGTCTCAACACTGGCGCCGCCTCTGGCGGCGCCCCTGGGGCGCTCCACGCCTCAGGGGAGGGGCGTCGAGACCGCCCCTGGGCTACCTTGAGGGGCCTTCTGAGGTCAGCCGAGACTCCTCGGAGGGCCTCTCTGAGGCCAGCTGGCACCACCCGGGGGGCCTTGTCCGTGCGCAATCCGACGCCTCACCAATCCCCCCTGGCAAGGCCTGCGGAGACTGGGGTCGTTTTCGCATGCGCCAGCGGTGCGCCCCCTTCCTGTTCCTTTTCTCCATCTTGCCCTTTCCGAGGAGGGGATCTACCCATAACCACCGCCTGTGGGATCGATCTTCGCGGACCTCCACAGGCGGTGGACATGGATATATTCGGACCGCGGACCTCCACAGGCGGTGGACATGGATATGCAGTGGAGGCCCATGTTAAGAAACACCCTGTTTGCCTCCAGGGTGCCCTTGGTTTGTGACGCTCCCACACCAAACATCAATGGAGGCCCTGGGGTCTCAGGGTTGGGTTTGTTGTGGAAGGTATTTTGCGGTCGAGCTCCTACTGTATTCGGCCCCTGGTGGGCCAACATCTATCCATATCCACCGCCTGCTTGCTCCCCAGGACGTTCTCAAGCCCTTCTGGCCCAAGCATCTGCTGAGCCAGATCACCTTGTGCTGTTACCATTTGTGTGCTGGCTTGAGAGCCTCCTTCTGGAGGTTAAAGCAAGGTCTCACGATTCTTTCACCACCTCAGCCATGGCGCCGGCGCCCAGTGCTGTGGCTCCTTGGAGGCGCTCTGCAGCTGCTCCTGCTGACGACGACGCCGCTTGGTCCGCTTTCTCGGCTAACGGGAAGACGTGGACATGCGGCAGTTGCGGCTGCAAGCGCAACAAAAGGTCGTGGTGGTTCTGCAAGCATTGCAAGAAGTACCGTGCTGCACCCGACCCCGACACGTATGCCCCCCCCTCGTGGGGAGGCAGTTGGCACTCGAGCGGGGCGGGAGGACACAGCGGCTGGCCTGGCCTCCCGCTACGTTCTGGACCTCAGTTCGACTCGAATGCAGGTCGTCTCGGAGGTGGAGGCGGTGCTGGTCAAGGCTGGGGTGCGCCACAGCCTGTGGATCACGGCAACACCTCCATTCCCGAGTTGGAGAATTTGGTGGATTTGCTCACGAAGTGCGGCGACACGATGGGGGCGAGGAAGCATCAGTCCATCCTGGACCAGAAGCGCCGTGCTGCTGCAGCCCCAGCTGTTCCGCTGCAGGCCAAGGTCAACAAGGCTTTCCACGATCTTCGCCAGCTTCGTGAGCGCACCGACAAGGCCTGCAATGTCTACGAGAAGATGGAGGCTGAGTTGGCTGTGCAGCGGAGCCGAATTCAGACCCTCACGAACGAGCTCAAGCAGGCTGAAGAGGTGCACACGGCCCTGGTGGAGCAGCTACACAAAGAAGTCGCTCCCCCCTCGGTTCCAGGCCCGCCTCCCGCCGCTTGTTTGGACATTGCGGCCATCATCCAGGGCAAGGCTGAGGAGATCCCGATTTCGATTGACTCACTGCTGGCTCCTCAGCACGACTACGAGATCGCGGGCGATGACCTCGAGGAGGCAAATCGCAGGGCGCAGGAGCTCAAGCAGTCTCTTCAGGATGCTGTTCGCAAGTTGTTCGGAGATGCGCTGGTCAGGGCCAAAGCCTTCCAGGCTGACCAGAAGAAGATGCTCGAGAGGCTCGCTGCCAAGAGGAGGCGCCAGGGCGGAGACGAAGCAGCAGAGCCAGCTGCGGGAGACGGGGATCCCGTTCCTCCTGCCGCCGCCGCCGCCGCGGGGGGCGACAGCGGGGCTGCTGCTGGAGCTGCCTCCTCAGCCCCCCAGGCCGAGTCGCCAGGGGACAGCGTCGCGGCAGATCCTGATCGCGCAGATGCTCGAGCTCGTGCTGAACGCCTGCTGTCACAGGCTTCCCCCCCCGCAGCCGAGGGGCAGCGGGGGGGCACCGCGACAGCCTGACTTTTCATGCCCGAGCCACATCGACGGTCTTGGGCCCGTTCTTGCGGGCCAGCCGTCTTACTTGTCTAACTTTAGTCTCTCGGCCTCTCGGCCTCACCTCCGTCGTTTCCTCCGCTCCCGTGGTGCGTGTCCCTCAGGCTGTGGCCTGAAGGCTGCTGTTCGTCACACTTGCTGGAGGGCCAAACGAATTTTGTCTGGTGATGGTCAGAGGTTCGACTCCCTGCAGGTTACCCTTTCCAAGCCTGCCGATTTTGCTCGTCCTAGCCCAGCTTACCCAGTGTTAGCTGCGCCTGGCTCTCAGTACCCGATTGAGGTGGTGCCTGGCCCCAGGATCTCCCAGGCTCCCCTCCCGTGCTCTTCCCCTCCCCCTCCTGGCCTCCTGGAGCCTGAAGGGATGAGCTCGGTCGCTTTGTCTGTCCGAACTCTCAACTGCAACAGTTGGGGCACCCTTAAGAAGATGTTACCTCACACGCCTTCAGCGGTCCTGATGGTGCAGGAACACAGATTGGCGGGTAGTGAAGAAGTCGCCCAGGCCTCCTCCTGGTGTGCCCGCAATGGCTGGAAATCGTTGTGGACCCCAGCTACTCTCACGGATAAAGGCACGTCTGGGGGCACGGCTTTGCTTGTGAAAAGCTGGCTTGGTCTGTTTCCCCCCCCTTCTGGACACGCTATCGTTCCTGGTCGTGCTACTCACGGGATCATTCAGGTTCCTGGTGGTTTCAGCTACCACATGTTTTCGGTTTACCTGCATGATGGGGAAGGTCTGACTGAGCGTAATCTGGAGCTCTTGAGTCATGTTGGCGCCTGTGCTACGACGAGCTGCTCCAGCTTTGTCGTGGGAGGAGACTTCAACGTCTCTCCTTGCGAGCTGGAGAGCAGCAAGTTTATCTCCCAGCTTCAGGGCCAGATCATCATTCCTGGAGGTCACACTCATTTTGGTCAGGGGGCCCCCTCCACCCTCGACTACTTCGTTTGCAGTGGGGGGCTTGGGAAAGCCGTGGACTCCTGCTGGATCGATCTGACGACGGAGCTTAGTCCCCATCGTCCCGTGGAGCTTCAGTTCCACCGATCCCCCGCCACCCTCAAGGCCCTCAGTTTTAGGAAGCCTCCGCCGCTGCCGAGAGACCGAGTCATAGGTCCGTTGCTTCCCCCACCGTGCTGGGATCATGTGATCTCGCGAGCTCAGGCTGGTCTTGACGCTGTCGCCGCAGGCGACGCCGAGGCTGCCCTCAGCCACTTGTCGCCGGCTTACGGTGCGTGGGCTGATAAGGCGGAGGAGGAACTGGTCCACTTGTTGGGGGCGGATCTGGTGAAGGCTGGATGCAGGAGCAAGGGGCCTCAGCTCGTGTGGCGCAGCTTAGTGGGCCGAGACTCTCAGCCAAGGTATCCCGAGCACCGCGCCATCTGCTGGCTGGTGGCTCAGTTTCGCGCTTTTATGGGGCTGCTGCGGGCCGACCAAGGTTGTGGGAGCCAGGCCGCCAGCTTGCATGCTTTGCTTGCTAGCCCTCCTCCCGCGATTTCTCGGCACTCCAGCAAGTATGCCTCTTCTTTCAGCCGTGTTAAAGATTTTACTGCTGCTTTGCAGGGCGATCTCCGCCGGGCCCCTTCTGAGCAAATTGAGAAAGGTGATGAGCTCTTGTGCACCCTCATCACTGTCTTGGAAGGGGCCAATGGGGAGTATCGGTCCAAAGCGCAGTCTGACTGGAGAGCTTGGCTCACGGAGGGCCTCGATCAAGGGGCTCGACGGGTGCACGCGATTGTCCGTGACCCCACCCCCTGGGTCCCTACCACGACCCTCGCCAGAGATGGTTCTGTTGTTGCCGACCCCCTTTCTCTGTTGTCCCACGAAGGCACCAAGTTTGCCAAGTTTTGGGATGTCGGAACTGGCAATCCTGTGGGTTGCACGTTGGTGGAAGCTCTCCCCAGGGCCGATCCCGCTCAGTTGCGGGCTGTCAGCAAGAAATATAAGAGAACCTCGGCTGTCACTTATGACGGGTTCGATTGCCGTCACTTT